GATAAGCGTCGAATAGAAGAAGAATGTGAGCATTTGAAAAATAATCGACATTTAGGTGAGTCGAATGTTCGCTGAAAATCTGTACGTCGATTTGTAAGGATTTATAGCTTGTGTTTTAACAACACTCCCCGACGTCGAAAGCAAGCGAGAGAGATAAACACAAAGGGATTACAACAGACCACGTTCGCGGTATGCTTTGAACGGAACTGAATCGCATAGTCCCTCACGCATGCGCTTATAGGCACATGCGTAAGATTCTGTGCGATTTTATTCACCTCCAGCTAGCGCCAACTTCTAGGTGTTTTACTGAGCGTGAGCTCGCTCCTGAAGGACTGATTAGTGCCTCTCTGTGCCGTCACAGGCGACACCAGTTCCGTTCAACGTTGATGCGCACTTGGCCTGCTGCAATCCATTTGTGTGTCTCTCTCTCTTTCACTGTCTACTTAGGGTGTTTTATTCAAGAACACCCTAAAAATCCATACCTATCAGTGCAAAAATGTTGAGCGATTATTAGACTCACCCAAAGATTGGTTCTTTTTCGAAACACTCGCACTGTTCCTCGATCCGACGCCTTTCGTCCGCATCGGCGTCCGAAGAAGATGCAATCACGTCTTCTCCTACGCAGTGCACGTTGACCTTTTACATTAGAGACAATTGCTGTTCGACTATATATATTAGCGTAAAAGCGCAAGCGTAAAAAGTATTTGTTGCGTAACTCGAGCACAGAAGCACCGATTACCCAACTTCCTATGTCTTTGCACCTACCAGACATGGCTATACATATTTTTTTTTGTCATTTCTGCTATAGACAATACTATGCTCTTGCTGAAACTTTGGCATGATGACTGCGCCCAGCGCGAAATGCGCTATGATTCGATACGAAAATCCAATTTCTGTCTGAATACGTAGATGACGCAATTGATAGGCCACTGCACGTTACGTAAGATTATCCGGTTCCCGCTACGCGACACTTGGCGAGACCAGGCCAATCTTGAGCGTGGGAAGAGGGTCTCCTCTAAAAAAACCTTTTCGAAGATGAACGAAACGTAATTTAAAAAGGATAGTGCGCTGGGCAAAAAAAAAAAATGGAAACATAGGTGAGGAGGATTCGTTAAATGTCGTTGTTGCCAACGTTTCCACAGGTTGGCCCGTCTTCGCCGAGTTAACGACTGCCTTTCTTAGCACAGTAAATGTGTAGACTTTGCTCTCTCTCTTTTAACCAATTACAATATTAGAGGAGCAGAAGAAAAATTCAGTGGGCCAAGGCGCGACAGGAAAGTGCAGAAGGGCTGTGGCTGGGTTGCCAACCGTATTGTAATTAACCTACCTTTGAATTTTTTCAAAAATTTTTTGGGCAGCGTGGAGTAGTAGAGTGGTAATAGGATCTCCCAGACCCCGCGGCGGTGGTCTAGTGGCTAAGGTACTCGGTTGCTGAACCACAGGTCGCGGGGTCAAATGTCGGATGCGGCGGCTGCATTTTCGATGGAGCTCTCATAACCATATGGTGACTTAGGGACGTTAAACTCTACAAAACAATCCACACGATCTCCCAATCAGGCGTTGGGTAATTTTCACTTTTAACTGATCATCGATTACCGAAAGACATGAATGATTCACGCAACATTATTGAGGGTGGCATCCTTAAACGCATTAGAAAACCAAACGCTTCTTTGAATAAAACTGGAAATTTCGCCAGCATAGGGCAGACGCGAAAATTATGGCATCAATCTTTGGAAGGTGGGGCGTATCGGCTCTGTATTGAAAAGTTCTCGTGGTCACGTGTTCATCACAGAATTGTGTACAAGTGCAACACCACAACTAAATTTGGACCTCTAGGATGTCTTATGGACATTTAGCGTACAAAATAATCAGCGCAAACCACAACAATCACAGTCAGTGAAAAAAAAAAAAAAACAGGATGAACAGTGGAGGGGCCTCAGACAGGCTGGCTGACGTTTCGATTGAAAGACCTATCTTTCTCAAAGGCGCCTTTGAGAATGATAAGTCCTCCTATAGAAACGTCGTCCAGCCTGTCTGAGGCACTTCCACTGTTCATATCATGCTTCTTCCACTACGTGTTTCCCTCTATCAGCTCCCATTTTGATTTCGGATAACAATCACTGTCAGTCATTTTACAGCAATGCCGCCGATAATGTCTCCAAGTGTACTCGTTGATTGATTGATTGATTTGTGGGGTTTAACGTCCCAAAAACCAAAATTATGAGAGACGCCGTAGTGGAGGGCTCCGGATATTTCGACCACCTGGGGTTCTTTAACGTGCACCCAAATCTGAGCACACGGGCCTACGACATCCAAATGTACTCGTATGCACCAACTTTTGCTTTAACGGTCACTCGAGGAGACTCAACGCTTTGAAGAAGGTGTCTTATTAAAAAAAATCGAGACACGCGAATTAAAGTAAGATTTTTCTCGTGGAGCTTTAGGAGAATGACACAGGATGCGTGGATAAAGACAAATTCAGAAAAGCAGTAAGGACGCATGGATTGATTCTTAAAGCTCACGATTTCTTTTGTATGTAATTAGATACTCTTAGAACATTTGACTGGATGATTTAGGTTTCATGGCCTTTGCGAACTCGTGCTGTGAGGATTTAGCTTTTCACCGACACCAAAAACATAACAAGTGTGGAAAACATTTTGAAGTAATAAGTAAAGTTTCCAAGTCAGATGGAAGGCAAAACACACGAGTCAGACCTTAATGCTGTCGGGCTTTTCTTTCAGGCGTGTGCTAATTGCAACAGCTCGGATACTTGCTGATGCAGCGTGTTGTCCAGGATTAGTGTCTAAATTTAGTTTAAGGGCCACTGTACCGAGACAAGGCCATGTTAGCGTCGTTTGAACATCCTCTAAGGTATATCTCGTTGAAAAGTCGACTTCGTTCCGCTTAAGCCCCGGTTGTCTTTGTTGCCCGTCCTAAGCGCTTACTTATTTTGTCCAGCGCGTGAGTACTCTACATGGTGATGCTATCACTTCTTGACTGATAGCTCTTTCGTTGGCGGTTAATTGGCACGCAAAGCCGCACTAATATACATCGGATACGCATGGTTAGCTTCCAGATTAATAAGAACCGAGAAGTCAAACGGGTTTGGATGACGTTTCCGTGACTTCACGTCACTTCGCGTCCTGACAAGAAAGCTAGGAAAAGCAGACTTTACTGTTACTTTTTTGTTTACTCCTGTCGTGTTAAAATCTATGAATAGTAGAACGTAGGTCAGAATAAACGCCTGGAGAAGCACCTGCTTGGGCGCAGACGACCATCCGAGCTATTTGAGGGCTTCGCTTAGCCGCCATCTTGTTGGGACAGCGAAGTATATCCTGCATCATTTTTGTCTACGATGTCATCTTCTTGAAGGTGTCTATTTTACCGGCTGCGTGGGAATTAGACTGGGAGTTCAGATGGGCACGGTCTTATGGTCTGACTTAACATCAGCACTCATGGTAGAGAGCAGACGTGCGTTGGGCTCGGTTTCGCAAAAAGCCTGTACGCAGCATTTAGTTATCATAACACCCTATTGCAAGTATGGTGGTGAAACTAACCAGACGCAGAAATTTTGATCGTGGCGTTGTAGTTGTACAAGATCTTACAGGGAATGTTTGCGGAGTTTCGCGCGTTTTATATTCGAAACATGGGAATCGCCCATTTCGTTGTTCCCTTAGCTAGTGTTTCATTCGTGGGCCCTTTCTGTGGTACCTCTTCGAGTACTCCCCATCTGCGTGCGAAGAGAAAGAATACTGGGCATGCGTACCTGATAGTGGAGAAACTGGTTCTTGCTCACTACTCGGCAGCGTCTTTTGGCCATGGCATCACCTAACTGGACAGGTGACGCCACGATGACAGCAGGGCATAAAAGGAAGGCACAAGGGGGAACAACACTCGAGCGATTTTTGGTGGTTTACTGTCACCTTTGTGGTTTCGAGTACAGTGTTTAAAACATGTAATATACTTCGAAAGCGCTTAGCTGGGGCGCCTTTCTGGAGCTGATCACGTGGTGCAACGTCACGTCTGCCCCACTCGCACTTCGCTGGCTAAAAGGGCTTCTAGCCCGATAAATAACCTTGGAACGCATGAGTATGTAGCCGAGCTTTTCCTCTGAAATTGCGTTGCCATGTTTATGGTGCCGCCAACGTTTCAAGTACACCAATTACATTGGTACACGCTCATAAACCCCGTCTGACTGCAAGATGTTACGTTTCGATGCTCTATCAGCTACAAGTCAGTCGCCGGTGCAAATATCAATTACAAACGCTTACATTAAATAAACGGTGCGACATGTGGTGAACCAAGACAAGTGTTGAGTCTTATGTAAAAAAAATTCAGCGTAACCTGTGGTGACCCCCGCGAAGTGGACACTGATTTTTTGTATATATCATATATTTTATTCGGTTCAACTAATGAAGCCACACGTGACGTTCGTGAGGTCGCGAAAGTCACGTGAGGTCACGTGACTTTCGCGCTTATAAAAGTGACGGAAAACTTCAGGTCTTTCGGATATAGCAAGGCGCTTCAATTAAATTTCCACGCAAGCGCTACACGCACGCGAAATGCAAACAGACATTCATTATTGTTTATTCTTTATACGGCTTTAACTTGCACTTGAAGTTAACTATCGGTGTGCTCTGGGTATCATGAATGCCATGAGATGCGATTAACTTCCTTTCCTACGCTAAGTCTTCAGTCGGAGATGGCATTACGTAGTGCTGATCCGCAGCTGCAATGTCTGTTTCGTAGGCTTCAGAATAATATGGTTGCAGCATCAGGTCACCTTAACAATTTATATCGCTTCATCCTGAGACACAGATTACGTATGCTCAACGTGACAATTTTTCCAAATTGCTCGCTAGTTCGACGACAATGCTACTTCACGTGGACTCACCCTGCGTGACGCGTTCAATCGCAGCAACCACCAAAAGTGAACTAGGTGGTCATCGTTTCACTACGACAGCAGCGAGCGGTTCTGGCTTGTAGCTTCACACTGCCACTCCTCGCCTCACTGAGAGATATGCGAGACTGTCCCGGCCACCCATGTCTTCTACGAGCACGGTAGCCAGCGTCATAACATCGCTGCAAAACCACCTCCAACATTTGTCGGCGTGGGAGTTTCGATGCCTGGACGATGAAGACGTGCCCTGGCTACCGCGGCTTGAAGTGCTGCCCCTGCACATCACCGTCCGAGAGATCGTGCGTGTTCTTGAAGCGTCGGCCACCGTGTCCTTATGCCTGCGTCGGGTCGCCTGGCTCTACTGTTGGCTCATGCCGAGAAACAGGGCCGGCCCGTGGATGCTGTACCGCTTCGACCCCTCGGAGCTGCGGGTTGGCAGCATTACGATTGTTAGGGCTCTGTCACGCACGCTGCCTGCTATGGGTCGGCCCACAACGTTCAACGCTAGTTACGTCCACGGGACGTTATTCGTCTGCATGATAATGCGTTCCGGCTCGTGTCCAACTAGCAGGCGCTACGCAGTCGTGTTGCTGGTGCTTCGGCACGACCAGCGATGTGCGGTCGGGCACGCCGAAACGCCGGAGGACCACCGTGCACTCGCGACCGCCCTTCACGTCGCTCTGTACGGTTCAAGCGTGGAAGTACCGCAAAGAATGTTTGCGGACATAGATTCTGCGTTCAGCGCGGTCCACACAGGCAATGACGGTCCAATCATGCTGCGAGTGGACAGTGACCCAAGCATCGCAGCGCCGTTTGTATCGAGTTCTTACCCACAAGAGCAAGAGCATATGCAGGACCTAAGTTTCAACGTGCGCGAGCGAGGTAAGTCACGCCATTTAGAACATCCTACTGGTCATCACCTAGAGCTACTGTAGAGCGACTTGCAGTATACTAACTGAAAAGATGCCTGAAAAAGACAGAACCAATGACCACAGTGTTCGAATGATTGTTACGAACATCATGTGTTAATTGGCTAGCTCATACTGCTGGTCGCTCAGTCTGCACAACCGGTAGTGGATGATCAATATCTATTGTCACAAGTCTCCAGTAGGGTTCAAAACTAGACTAAAACTGTCGTTAGCAATGTGGCCAAACATGGGTCTGCAGTAGAACGTCATACACTTTAGATGTTTTCAGAGTGTTTGCTCTATTGTATACCCCGTTGCCCGAGTAGGGTTTAACCAACCATTGATTCCTTTACGAATTGCTTGCTGATGCCGCATGGTGTCTTCATTTGTTATTGTCATTTCAGGTGAGGCCCCTTAACAAGACAGTACCAGTACGTAAATGAACCGGTAGCGAGGTGTAGCCATACACATCTTTCAGTAGGAGCTTCGCATCCACGATGGGAAAGCATTGACACGGGGCACGGAGACTATGCCTATGAGACTGCACGCTGCGAGCCATTACAAGACATATCAAGTACACCGTATGAAAGGAGACACTGGACACGCCGTCATAACGTCCAGAATGCAAGATCTAGATTGTCAAGGCTTCAAGACAGTGCAGAAAAAGCAGCTGCAGAACTACATACTGGCTTTTGCATACGGCATGACTGCTGCAAGGTCTTCATTAATTATTTCACTCCTATGTAGCACGTCGCCACTTCCGTATGGAAGCCGGCACAGTGCAAGACATTTAGCAAGACTCGAAGTGCCAACCAAGCCAGGAGAGTACCACAGAATAGCTGTGTTCATATTGATCTCTTCGAACTTTTTAGACGAAGCGCGGAATTGAAAAGGTGTCCCTCCGGCCATCGTGACGAAGCTGGCTGAATTGGCTGCTTTAGACATTTTAAAAACCGTTTGTTTGTGACGTGACCACATGCATAGAAGGCTGAAATATCTATCCATAGAGCAATACGAACGCTCGAGTTATCATTTTCCTCAAAATCGTTCAAACCTTCTTTTATCCATTGACAAAAAATAAAGAAAAATCGTTCCATTTCGAGTCTGCGGTCGATTCTTCCATTTGTAAGTTTTTGACGATCGTCTGCTATCGTAAACTTTATGCTATGCATTAGAAATGCGTGATTTGTACAGATTTAGTTTATTCACGGAGACTTTCAATAAACAGTATATTGTGTGACGACACTGCACAAGTATTCAAGTAGACGTTAATATATTTCACATTCAGCATGTGGTAGCCATATCAAAGTGTTCATCCATATCGTAGATTATGTAACGTGCCGCCAATCGCAAAAGTTTATGAGCGACGTGAGTGGGTGGCCAAAACCATCTTCGCCACATTTCGGCTACGTAAGCAGCGATCAATACCAGTGCAAAGGCCGAGACGCATCTATCCCTTAGTCGATGACCTGGCTATTTTAATAAATGCTTCGTACCTTTCACACTGTAACGTGACGCACTCTTCGGCAGCTGTGATACCGTGCAACTATCTTGAGAGTAATCTATCACCATAACTGTTATCAGACGCTGCCAAAGCTTTCATAAAGTTATACCTAACAAACTAAATACCATTTGAAGCATGCCTTGGTGGCTTTGATTATGCATTCAAACTAGGAGTGCGACAATCGTACCACAGATACGCGTTTTGCGGTAAAATCACGAACAGTGTTCTGCCGACATACATGTTAACAACAAGTAGGTGCACTTTCAACCCAGCGCTTCGTTCAACAGTATATGGTGCACCACTATGATGGCGCAGGCAGGCAGTTTGGCAGACGCTCGCGTGGTCCGTAAGCTTTTGTAGTCGACTGACTGTACGCCCTTACAATTTCTTACGTTGAAACTGCGTATGTCAAGGCAGAACGGCTGTGCGTATAGGCTGGTTGTTTCTAGCCCAGATACGTTTCAGGTATTTCGCAAGCCTCATCCCTTACCAGAGAGCATGAGGGAAAAAATATTGATTTCTCCGATGGACGACTATACTAGTCCCGTGAGGGGACACTGTTCCCGTAAAAATGAAGTTGTGGGGTGCTGAGCCGATGAAGGACGGGTCCCAACACAAGAGGTAACGATGTTTATTAACGTGGTAGTGGCAGCAGGGCCAGAATGCCGATGCTGCGCTCAAACGGTTACAGAAACGATCGTTGCGTTTTATGTTATGTCCTTTATCGACTCAGCATCCCACATCTGGTGACCCGGAAAACGAACTAACCGCACCGTCATGACCGATTCAGAAGACCTCACCGCTCTCCGCCATCAAGTGCAACAACTCCGACAGGAACTACTGACCCAGCAACAGCAGCAAGCTCGAAACGCTTCTGCAAACAAAAACGTGCCCCGTGGGCTCCGCTGAGGACGTCAGAAGTCCTACGGAAGCCACCCCGCACGCCGCTTCCTGGCGTGTTGCTGTCAACCTTCCGCCGTTTTGGCGGTACTTACCCGAGGTCTGGTTTGCCCAGGTCGTGTTCCTCTCTGGCGCACATCACCAAAGACTGGACCCGCTACGACTACGTCGTCGCCCACCTGGACGCCCGTTATGCCAACGAGGTCCGGGATATTCTCGCGAACCGGCCAACGGCTAACGTGTACGAACACCTGCAGACCGCACTTATTCGTCGCTTGTCACTCACAGAAGAACAGAAGATACGACAAGTGCTGTCCGCTGAGCTTGCTGAACGCAGTGCCTTCGCAGCTCCTGCGCCACATGCGTGCGCTCGCAGCAGATTTTAATAACCGGAAGGTAAGGGTCTTCAGCAGATTGCCAGTCGGAGTGTGGGAAATGCCAACTCCATAAAGTATTAACTGGTCAGCGATTGAGATAAGGAAGGTACGTCTAGAATGTCGGTGTAAACCAAGCAGGCACGTTAGAATGCTTTACGGATTCAAACAGCACTTGTTACAAAAATCGCCGATGTACACACATCATAGAAATGGCGACGGCATAAAAAAGAATACGTGATACACTTTAACATACTCCCGACGGATACATATCCGACAAATATATGCAAGGTCAGGCGAACTAAATAGACCCGTTAACCCACGCTCTGAGATGTACCCAAATCCTAAGGTATTAACGCCTGAACCCCTCCGCCATAGGGGACAGCTGCTTTGCACAGCCCCTGCGTCGCAAGGAGGAAAGGAAATAATTGGAAGGGAAAGGAGGTTAGCCAGTTCTTAGACAGCCTGGCCACCCTGTGCTGGAGAAGGGGAGCATTGGAGAACAACAAAGTGCCATTCAGCAGGCCCGCGAGTTGGAGGTGAAGCAAGGCCTTGATGTGCCCACGCGTGGGACCCCAGTCTCGATCGGCGAACACATTGCAGGACTGCCATTAAAGTAAGAACCACCATTAATCAACATTAGGCCTACAAATCAACATTAGGACGCATGAAGATGGAAGAAAGGATGAGAGAAGAAGCTGGGGTATTCCATGTCCCGTTATCATGAAAAAAAAAAAACTAATTAGACTCAGCAGGTCACGTTGTACGCTGCAGGAACAACCGGTGGTGAATGAAAGAGACGCAATGAATATCAAGAGATTGAAAATAAAAATGCTTGTTCTGGGTGATGAAACAAACAATACTGTAACCACAAAATGCTGTCATCTTGCACAGAGAAGACAAACTAGTGATTACTGAGAAAGTCTTTCCTTTCGCGGCGGACCTAAACTAACTGACTATGATAATGGCGATGAATGAATAAATGAACAAAGATATAGATAATACGCGACTGCTGCTATGCTGCACAGACAAGGTTGGAAGGTATTGCTCATTAAAATAAAGGACATATCAAGCGATTATTCGTTAAAAATGGGTGCAATGAAATATTTCCACCGAAGGCACCCACCAGTAGAAGCTCTGTGTCCAGTTTTTGTTTTTATTTTTCCAGCACATCAATTTTCCACAATACAAGAACTATTAACTGCGATGATGAGTATATGCTACATGGCGTAATTACATCCTTCAGCGTTGAGCAACGCTTGACTACAGCTTTATGTGTTATACACGAACGTCACTAAATGCAAATGCGTGCGCGTTACTAGGCGCAACGTCACCTCTCCGTCCAATTCTCTTAACATTCACCACTGCAAACAACAGCTTCTTATTGCTACCTTGGCGTTCACATATCTAGTAACTTGTCATGCAAACACCACGTCCATTACATATTATCTAAAGCAAACCAAACGTTAGGTTACTTGAAAAGAAAGTTCTATCTTGCCCCACCGTCGCTAAAACTATTGCTTTATACCACCTGCGTTTGCCCTCAACTAGAATACTCCTCATCTGTCTGGGACCCGCTCAGATCTACATTATCACAAAGCATCGAGGCAGTACAAAATCGCTCTGTTCGCTTTATTTTATCTAATTACGATCGCAATGCCAGTATCACAAACATGAAAGTTGCTATTAGCAACACGCAGAAAACAATCACGCATTTGTATTTTTCATAAAATGTACTTCCATAATCCTGCTCTTCGTTCCTTGTTCATACACCCACGCCTCCATTTCGCTCACATCGACTTGATCATCATCACAAGGCTGACATACCATATCTTTCATCTACTGCAGGTTCGCAATCATTTGTCCCCAGGACAGTTGGTGATTGGAATCATTTACGAGCCTTAATAACTGATATAACTAATACAACTGCATTTAAAAATGTCTTATCCAGTGTACTGTAGCTCCACATGTTTATTTTTCCAACGTATTGCACTTTACTAGATTTCTGCGATTATTTTGTATAATGCTTCCTGTTTTACATTTTTTCTGTAACTGTTCATGCTGTTGATTTTACTATTCACACCCCCACCTCCTCTGCAATGTACTTATATCCTTAGGGTACTATAAATAAATAAATAAATAAATAAATAAATAAATAAATAAATAAATAAATAAATAAATAAATAAATAAATAAATGAACTTGATGGTTAGTTTCTTGTTATAAACTTGCCAACGCTGCTGCGACAATGAACTTTGTTCCAACTCGACATCAGTCAAGGGTATTTTTCTAGATCAGGTTCAAGATATGGCATGATCTTGCGATGGAATACTTCAGAGCCACGCAGATTGTCTTGGTAAACTACCTTGCCGGATCCTGAAGTTATTTATCTGCATTCATCAAAGTTTTTCGCTTTCCAATACCGCCCGCCACCAACTCGGATTTTTTCCGCTGCACTGGCTCCTTTGCGCTCTCACATTCAAATTACCAATATTTTTGACGCCCCCCGCCGCGGTGGTCTAGTGGCTAAGGTACTCGGCTGCTGACCCGCAGGTCGCGGGTTCATATCCCGGCTGCGGCAGCTGCATTTCCGATGGAGGCGGAAATGTCGAGGCCCGTGTGCTCAGATTTGGGTGCACGTTAAAGAACCCCAGGTGGTCAAAATTTCCGGAGCCCTCCACTACGGCGTCTCTCATAATCATATGGTGGTTTTGGGACGTTAAACCCCACAAATCAATCAATCAATATTTTTGACGCCGCTCCTGGGTAGATATAAACTGTGAAGCACCTCTGATGCATACTGGCGCGTGGTATACGAGTGACTCACATGAATGGGAGAAAGAGTTTTGTGACGTGTGTGACAAGCCTGTCACGTTACTGATGTCAATATTTCACAGTCACGTTTGCCTTGCCCTCCTATGCCAACTCTGGGGTACACCAAGTTAAGGAGGCAATCATGAGAGCGCCTCGACGTAGACGTCTTGAAAATTATATATAAACGCTCAACGAGTCTTTCTGTCGCTAAGAAATGCGTCTCGTTTAGGAAAGAAAAGAAGCCCGCCAGGCAAGCCCACCGAAGCATATTTTGTCCCCTCCTCCCCCTCTTCTCAACAGGAAAAATGAGCATTAATATACAATTCTTCCTTCACTATCATGCAACACACGTGCCATTGAATCACTATTCATCAGGTCGGAATCTTCAGTTACAGTGGGCGTAGTTTATCGTCCCCCCAACGCGTGTTTTCTCTCCTTTCTTGAAACGCTTGAAATGATCCTGAGTCAACTAACAAACAATGTCAAACAATCTGCTGTTATTGTTGGTGATATGAACATTGATACCTGTAGTCCAGTGAACGATGGTTACATCTATTTGCTAAAGTCGTATCACTTTCGCAACCTCATCACTACACCAACTCGAATAACAGCAACGTCTGCTACATTGATCGATCATGCACTGACAAATTCCGAGAAATATATTAGTGCCGGAAGTGTATGACAAGCCTATCACAGATCATTTCCCAATATTTGTCTCTGTTGAAGTGTTTAAAGAAGTAAAAAAAAACGTGACGGGCCGAGGTTTGTAACAAAAATAGTACTACTTGGCTTTAGGGAATATTCTTCTTGGATCTAGCGTTAATCAAATATACCATGATGACGTCAATATCGAATTTTCGAACTTGATTACTCTTCTTAAAAATGCCATCAAAGGAAGCAGCAGAAAAGTTTCGGTTCATTCACGGGAAACGCCAATATGTCCCTCGATGAATAAAGAAATCTTGGAAGTCATAAGAAGCAAAGATTACTGGCATGACAAATGAAAACGCCGCAAGCATAACGAGTTTTATTTGCACCAGTTTAAAACAGTGCGTAATAAATCAGTTGCCTTGATGAGGATGAGTAAAAAGGATTATTATGCAAGACAACTAGAGCAGGCGAATGGTAATTCGGTTAAACTTTGGTAAATTGTAAATAACGTTGTCTGAAACCCTCCCGCTTCTAAGGTGCTTCCTGATGTCATCGACTACAACACGGTTGAATCGTTTAACACTTATTTTGCCTCCATTGGCCCAACACTAGCTAAAAAATTCAAGGAACCCAACCAAGAACATGGTCTCGCAGATTCCAATCCCAATTCTTTTGTCATGTATGACATCGGACGTGGAGGAAATCATATCAATTGTGTCAGGAATGCCAATGAATAAATCGGCAGGCCTAGACGGGATAACTGTAAGGCTTCTCAAAGAAAATTTAGACGTCCTCGGACAGGTTTTATGTCGACTATTTAACCATTCTGTGAGAGCAGCCATGGACCCTTCTTGCTTTAAAAATTTCAAAAGTTGTTCCGATACACAAAAGTGGCGATCACTCTCAACCGTCAAACTACTGACCAATCTCAGTTTTGAGCAGAATTAACAATATCTTCGAAAGAATTCATGCCAATCGTTTCTATGAATTCATTGCGAAATATAACTTGCTCTCCCATCAGCAACACGTATTTAGACCAAATTATTCTACCTCCACCGCCGTTATGACCCTTACTCAAGCAATAAACACTACATTGAATGAAAATAAATTAGTAGCAGTTATCTTTCTGGACCTCAAAAAAGCCTTTGACACAGAATACTAGACCACAGAATACTGCTAAGTAAATTACCACATTATGGTTTCCGTGGGACCATATTTCAACTTCTTTCAGATTACCTGAAAGATCGTCAACAGGCTGTATTAATTAACGATTTCATGTCCTCTATGAGCCACTTGAGTACTGGTGTTCACCAGGGCTCGGTGCTGGGACCATTGTTCTTCTCCCTGTATATTAATGACCTTCCGCAGATATTACAGCCTTCTAACATACTGATGTATGCTGACGATACTTGTTCCATAGTAACAGGTAAAAATCTAACTGATCTTGAATCGAAGTCCAATGTGGAACTGAAAAAGGTTGCCCATTGGTTATCAAATAATAAACTATCTATAAATACCGATAAGACTAAATGCATCACATTTCGCTCTCAGTTAAGATTCATTAATGCTAATGATATACACATAAAAATGGACGATTGCCGTGATCGAGCAAGTAACCACAATTAAATATCTGGGTGTCACTATAGATAACAACTTACATTGGCAGATGCAGATTCAAAATGCGTGTTCCAAATTAGCCTCAGGGTGTCATGCACTTACTCAGGCTCGTCAGTATTTTTAATACCACTACTCTACGAATGCTTTATTGTGCTTTCATTCATTGTAATATCTCATTGCATTGAGTCTTGGGGCAGCACGTACACAACTTACCTGGACTCGGTTAGACGACTTCACAAATGGGCTGTAGGAGTCATTACTCATTCCAAGTATAACGACCCCAGCAAACCTTTGTTTTCCAGATTACTTATTTTGACCTTCGACAAGCTATGGAAATGAAAACTAGCCAGATGCGTACGCACAGTTATTAATTATAACCACCCATTTCATGTGTCGATGTTTTCCGCCCCTTCTCGTTCTACTAGACAACTAACCTTTGGTAAATGGAATATTCCACGAACTAACAACGTATATGGTGAATGGCTTTTACAGTTTGTTGGTATTAAAATCTGGAATGTTATTCCTTTTGAAATAAAAATGTGTTGAATGTTCACTAAGGCACTAGAAAAATACTACTTAGAAGAATGTACTGATTTATTAATGTCCTGTCATAATTAGTCTGATGACTGTCTTGATTTCAATATGTAAGTAGGTGTTTATTTCGTTTTCGTTCTCTCGTGCATTGTAATGGTTTAGTGCGGTTATTTCATGCACTGTAATGTTTCTTTACCGATTCTTTATTACATTAGATTGTAAAAACTTTAATTAATTCTTTATTGATACTGTATAACTTTTTTAGTTACACTTTGCCGAAGTGCCTTTATAAAATCTTTCTTTTTTGGACCCAAACTAGCCTATGGCTATGGGTCCGCGCAGTGTATGCAAATTTTTTGTAAAAAGTGTGACCAATAAAATTCAATTCAACTCAATACAACAATTCCTGCTAAATTATTGGCGGTTTTAAATGAGCAATATAAAAACAAGAAATAGCAAAAAATTACTGTGGAACTTCAAATGACCTCGAAAAAGCATGCGGAACAAGTTATACGTATTGCCTCCCAACGGAGGAATATGAACGAAGGTCTAAGCAGAGCAAGAAAAAAAAAATTATTGAGGAGAAACGCCCACGCGAAGTTGCGTACAAAGGAAGCCTTGAAATAACTCCGCGGAGGGTTAGAACGCCCAAAAAACTTCATTCAACGCAATCTAAGCGGATTGCCGAGGGGCATCGTCGCAGTTTCAATTTAGCACAGATCGCGCGAAGCTCTTGAGTACGCGGAATATAGAACACACACACACACACACACACACACACACACACACACACACACACACACACACACACACACACACACACACACACACACACACACACACACACACACACACACACACACCACACACACACACTCACACTGCAGCACGCACACACACACACACACGCACGCACGCACGCAGTCTAGCATTGCTCGTCTTTTATTGTTCGCATTGCGGAATAAGCCGGCAAAATTGGTCTTCTCCGCATGACACAACCCCCGGAGTGAACGCGCCCTGCTGCTGCGCTCCTTCACCTGAAGACGGGAGATTGCGTGTTCTTGCACCATTTTTTGCAAGAGGATGAGGAAGTGCGACATTTTCGACGCACAAATGGCGTTGTCGGTTATTTCAGCATGCCTGAAAAATATAAACAGCCCGCCCCAGCAAGACAATGCGAATACCACGGCTGCCAGTGTCATGTTTTCTATCTTTTTTCTTGCGAGCCTTATTTACGCTCTGTTTCCTTTGTGTGCCAGCCAACGAACACCCACGCAGCCGGTGCAGTTCCTACGGCGCGCGCCACTCCAGTCCCGTTTCTAAAAATAGCCGCGTAGGCTCGGCAGCGGCGGCAGTGGCACCCTGCGACGTTCGATCGCTCCTAGCGCCGCACGGCGGCAAGCTTCTATTGGTCGCTGCGGCGCGGCGTGACGATAGTAGGCAAGGGAAATGAGAGAGGAGCAAAATAGGGAGAAGAGGGAGCTAGCTTGTCGTGCGGGTCTACAGGGAAGACACGGGGAAAAAGAGGAAAAGTGAAATGCGCGTTGGGGGAAAAGCCACCGGCGGTGGAGGTACAGATTGGCACTCGGTGTAGAAAATGACGAAGGGGAATTGCATCTTTCGGAGTGCTATTAAGCGAGGGAGAGGAAGAAACGCACTCGCGCGTTCCCAGAGAAAAAAAGGGGAAAAGGTGGCTCAGGGAAGTTTGTAAGAGGAGGAAAGAACGGATGGAATGCGACTGGTCCTTCTTTCCCAAAGCGCGCGTACGCCGGGCCCCGTTCATGCCGGGGATCGCGGCACGTCTGTGTTCCCGGCATGCACCGCGAGCGTGACATTTCGGGCCAGTGGTATTTAAGTTCCGGCGTACGCCGGGGCCACTTGAAGAGCGTCGCTGGTTGCTCGTTGGCTCGTCTGATCTCCCTTGGTCAGGTGCTTCGGTGTGGAAACCCGTCTCTTTCTAGGAAGTTTAAATCCTGACAAGTGCGTGGTTTTTCTTTCACGGTTTGTGGTGCGGGTGCTTCGGTGGCACAGTCGGAACTTTGTTGCTGGCAACTCTGCGACCTCATTGAAAAGCTCATCTGTGGTGAGTGCTGAACACTTTACTTATTAACAACTCTCTTTTTCTAATGAGCAAACACAGGTAATCTCCGACATAAGCAAACCTCGTAGAGAATAGCCGATACTTTCTTCATCCTCTAATTCTACATCAAATGAAGGGAATCTCTTCTATTTTACTGTTGTATTCGTTGAGTCAGAAGACAGTTTACGCGTTACAATTGATACTCTAAAACTCCGTTGGGTATTTGCTTTTCCTTGTGTTGACTGCTACACGATCAGTACTGACGTATCATTTTGAATTTTTTCCTAACTAGTTGCCGTACCCAGCGTTGCATGGTCTCAAAACTTTTTTATAGATATATAAGATTTAACGTCCCAAAATCACCATATGAATATGAGAGACACCACAGTGAAGGGCTCCGGAAATTTACGACTACCTGGAATTCTTCAACAGGCAGCCAGATCTGACCACACGGGCCTACAGCTTTTTCGCCTGCATCAAAAATACAGCAGCCACAGCCAGAATTTGACCCTGGGATCTGCGAATCAGCAGCATAGTAGATCTGCTAACTTTTTAAGGTCACCTGTCACCCTAAAGCTTGTTCAAAGGGATGATCAGCTCTAACGGAAGCCACGAGACGTGCAACAGGTGTTCCTCAGAATAAGCTGACGGTAGTTGTTATTAATTGGTTGGAAAGCTTGATCACAAGTAGGTCACTATTTGGAGCGAAATCTTTGTGTCGCATTTCATTTTAAACACTAAATTTAATAAAAAATGTGTTATGACAGTGGTGTGGACTGAGTTGAAATGTTTTGTAGCGTACGACTGAAATGTCTTTAGTGTGTGCCAACTTTAGATACAAATATTTTGACAGGAAGATTGTGAATATTCCTAATGCAAATTCGAACAAAAATTGATAGGTGAAAATTAAACAATAAGAACAAATCGCAGCTAATTATTAACAAAAATAAAATTGTTCATATAGATATGAAAATTACAAGTGTGTGGTAAGGAGTCAAGATCTTTAAAAGTCAGATCCTTGTGAAATTCCAGTAGAAAATGAAGCACCCGCAAAACACGGCAATGGCTCGTTCATGTATCTCTAGCATTCGCCTTAGCAAGTTTATCAATTTTTCTCAGAAGTCTAAAAGCGAGTATGAAAGCTTAGCTGACTTTTACATATTCGATGGCAGCGTGCCTTGAGGAGCCATTCTGAGTTTGAATGCTGGACGTATATCTGTATTGTGCGCACAAATTGATTATTATGAAACAACGGCTTCGATGAAACATGTCGCTTGGTCCGCATGCGTTGACCTTTCGCTCTCGTCGGCTGTCGTCGCAACCACATAGACCGCGTACTTCTCTGTGGGATGGTGATTTGGAGGGCGAAGTGAACGCAGAGGACGATCGAAATGAAATCTATAGGAAATTGGTGCATTAAATAATTCGGAACCTAGAGCTACTCAAGAGATGTCTGTAGTGATGTGATCTATACTAGTATTGTTGTTTATTACGAGATTATGCAACCAAAGGAGTACTCTAAGAGGAATACTTTTGACAAGGAGGAAGCGCCGCCGCAGTGGTCTAGTGGCTAAGGTACTCGGCTGCTGACCCGCAGGTTGCGGGATTGAATCCCGGCTGTGGTGGTTGCATTTTCGATGGAAGCGAAAATTTCGTAGGCCCTGTGCTCAAGTTTGAATGCACGCTAAAGAGCCCCAGTGGTCGAAACTTCCGAAGCCCTCCACTACAGCGTTTCTCATAATCATATGCTGGTTTTGGGACGTTAGGTCACACATATCAATCAACAATCACTCATTTTGACAACGAGGAAAATAAAACGTTGGAGCGTATCTGGTTTCCTTTGATATCGCTATCGAAAAAGCACTCGCAAATTAACTAAAACGGCCTAAGAAGAAAGACACAGTCAGCCTAACACAATTGTAATTTTTTGTGGCCCAGAAATGCTTTAGCGTTAACGTCAATTCATGAGACGTGGTGGAATTGTGAGACAATCAATCCTTTTTTTTTCATGACATACAAAACAGTAAAGTTTATGCGGTTACTTAGATGACTACTGAAACCATCACTCGTGGAATGAATGTGTTTTCACAGTTATATTGTGGACCATTTAAAATGGATTTTCAGTGATTTTTGCAAAGATTACGTGTGCTTCAGCAGCTTCACTAGTGTACTTAGGCAGTCTTCGCCTCAACAAGTGTATGCATGTGGCCAAGTATTCTTTACAGGCAGTTGATCATGAAAATTGGAGCCAGGACTGCATACAGCAAGCTTTTCGGAATGTGCTGTGGGAGTCAAGTTTTCCAACGTGTTGTCACTGCAGTAGTCTCTTTAAGATTGCAAAACAATGCCAAAGCATAAATTCGTATAGATGCCACACAACCTGCAACTTGAGCAATGTTTATCTCCTTGGGTTCGTTTCACACTGCAGCGTTTCTTCGAAGCTCCTGGCATGGTGCTTTTAAAAAAAAAGAAAGCGTCGTTCGTTGTTCCGAGCGTGCCCCAGGAATCCCTGCTATCCGGGCATGGCCGTTGCCTTGGCAACGCTTGGCGCACGCGATCCAATCGGCGTAGGGGACATGAACTTTGCGGTGGCGCGGAATGTTTAGCTGCCGTTCTTCTTTTGTTGTGATTGATCGTGACACGTTTTGCTTGGCACTGTATTTTTTTTCAAGAGCGGACAGCATCTCGGCTTGCCGCTTTTCCTGAAACAATGTGTCTTTTCGGGGGAGATACTTGTTGAACACTTGTGGAAACTGTTGTTGGCGAGGTTACTGCTTTTTTTTTGCGTTCGTTTCACTTTGGTTTCTTTGCGTTACGCTTGGCAGTTGACATGCTGCGTGCAGTATTTTCAATGATTTATGAATTAACAATGCAAGAAAAAGTTTGCAATAACTGCTTTTCATCATGCATGCATTGAATAGGGATTACGGAGCAGGGGTTCAGGAAGAGAAGAAAAAGTACAGCGTCACGTGGTGTGCACTTGTCTGGTGTTAGGATTTGAAATATAATAGCAGACAAAAGGAAGCAGTCTTTATTGTTCTATCTGCAGGCTCTGCGTAACTGGCCCTTATGCGTTGCCGTTATCTATCGTCTTATTTCTTCATTAGGACGCTTGATAGCTCATGCGAAACCACCATCACAACAAGAGATCAAATGGCGGTGCTCCGTTTTCTGGAGAAGTTATTGTGGCTGATCAATTCGCAGAAAGCAACACCAACCAAACAGACTTGCAATGTAACTTCTGATTATTAACGTGCACTTTTGTTCATTAACACGTATTCTGACAGTTGATCACGTGACACGCGCAGCACACTACGTGTTCATATATACCATGATACCTGCTGCGAACGAGCGAAAAAAAAGGAGCGAGAAGAAGACGCATTTGGAGTTTCTCGTTCTGCTAATGGTGGATAAATTAGCATATATATCAGAACTTACTATGAAATATTTCACTGAAACACCGCAAAGTATATGATTGGATAAACCTATAATTATATAATTAAGAGAAGAGCACGAGTCTACATTGTTACAACGCTCGTCAGGTCATCTTCCTTGCTTTGTTTGAGCACTCGAAGAATGGTATTACGTCTGAAATCACTTCCTAAAAAACATTAAACCATCCCTCAAAGGCCAGTAAAAAAACGTGGAACAATATTTCGCATGACACGGCAAATGGGCATTCGCATAATTCAGACCTATGTTAATTTGCCGTAAACAACTGTTGCGAATGCACTAAATGTGTATGTGGTAGGCATTGTGGGTGCGACAGCACATGTTTTGTGATTTAACCGTATTTCAGGGTGTTTTGTGTGTTAATGAATGTTTACACGTAACGATGAAGCGATGGAATTAAGCCATTCGGCAGGCCTATTGAAAGTCACGCTTTGCTGAATGCATGACTGGGTTTTTGTGGTGGTATGATGGGATTAAAAAACATAGATAGGCGAGTATTCGGCCTATGTATTCCCTGTAGCCACGGTGATTAGCTGCAGTCTTTTATTTCTTACATATAACTGCCAAAACGCTTTGCGACGCAGACAAGTACACTTTGAACAGCTTGTAAACAGTAAACGGAGTGAGCTGTAATTCCGGCGTATACAGAGTGCCACATATAGTGAGTGCCAACTTCTCTCTCTCACAGTGACAAATCTGCGTATGAAAGCGACCATGTTGTACACCGACGCCATCTCGGTTCTAGTCGGCTGCACTCTCTGCGCCTTCGCCACGACCGTTTTCGCTTATCCCTCGAGCCCCGTCTACGGCCGTCTTCAAAGGAACGCCGCCTCCTACGCGGAGGGTCAGTACGCGCACGCGGACCCCAACTACTACGCACTGCTGCGAAGCGAGGTACCCCTGGGTGCCCCAGCGTCCTCACCAGACTGGGGTCAGTTCTTAGCCAGCCCCGTGGACTGGAGCAGTGGACGCCTATGCCGGCCCGTCAGTCGTCGTGCCTCCGGTCGTCCCGCAGTATGAAGACTACGCGGACGAGTACGACTCAAGTGCTACGGGATTCAATTCCCGCCCTGGGGCATCACCAAACCTGGGCGGCTACGACTGGTATGAAGCCCAAGCGCGAGCCGAACAACAGCAGCAACAGGAGGCGCAGCTGGAACAGCAGGAGATGCAGGAAGCGGCCGTCCTCAAAGACCTCCTCGCGAACTACCTGAGCAAGAAGTCCAGCGACTCGGCGGCACCCGCCAGTGACCCTGAGAAGCGGTCTGAGACGGCGAAGAAGTACACGGGGGCGTCCGGTGGCGTCCGGGTGAAGAGCACCACTGCTAAGCCTAACGTGGCCGCCCTGACTGTGCCCCGCGAGAAGGGCACCGCCGCTGTGGCTTCCGCGCATGGACCGTCTCTGTCTGTGACGTCACCTCCAGTGCCGCAGCCAACAGGGTCGTCACTCTCAGCGGCAGAGGCCTCGGAAGCACACACGGTCCGGTCAGCCAGGAAGGTGGTCAGAAAGAATACGCCATGTTTCGGCCTGTGGGCACAGCCGAGAGCAGACGACCGACATTCTGGCGAGGTGGAGTCAAGCAGACGAAAACGGAAGCGGCTGCGATGGTAAGTCTGCTTTTGATTTCCTTATTTCTATCATCATAATCATAATAATCATCATAATTAACACAATCACATAGTTAAAGTGCCGTGTTGGACACATCTCTTTTTTGTGTGTCAATAACACTTTTCTGCTTAATATGCACACGAATGATAAATTCACCATCGATGCTTCAGAGAAATAGTGCACCCACCGAATGAAGGTATCGAATTAGTACCTATACGTAAGTAAATAATGAACGTGCAGTTCACACTAAAGCGTGGCTATTGTGCAGCTGTCTGTGAGCTGCGTCACACGCAAGTAAAAAGTTGACTCTATCGCAACCTAAGTTTGGACGTGCTTCTTCCCAAAAAAAACAAAACAAAACAGCCTACCGATCTATTTTTTCGTTTCTAGATTCGTACATATCTAGAACCCTACGTTTTAATCTCTGATATACTAGCGCCATTTACTCCTTCTATGCCATAAAAAAAAGATTTCTCTAAGTACAGAACTTCAAGCCCAGGTTCCACTACAACCAAGCCAATGTTACACTTGGCAGCTCCCATTTAGGATCGTTTGTTTTCTGTTCTTCTTAATCTTTTCTGCAGGCTGTCGAAATAGTTTATGTGTACGATCAGTTTTTGCGACGATCATACGTACCTCGGTCGTTGAATTGCGTGCTTAAGTTAATTTTTTTTGCACCTGAGTAAAACTGTACCAGTGGAAGAGCACTATTTACGAGCAGGTAGTCACTAAATGTCGTGAAAAGCTTTTCTGAGAGTGCCTCAAAGGCATTGTTACTTTCCTACTTTCTCTCTTAATAAACCTTCCTTTGGTAGTTTGTTATTGTAACTGATGATTTACAGAGTAATAGTGAGCGTTTATGTAGCGTAAAAACAGACTTTTCATAAAGAAATGAGTGAGAGTCTTGATAACACTGTACTAAAGCCGGTGTGGGTGTCCACTGCTTCAATTTCTATTATATTTGCTGATTTTCACTACAAAGAGGCGTGTTTTGATTGCTTTTGGAAGGTTTTTTAAAATTAACAAACGTACTTCAGCTGTTCACTCACGTCTTTCAAGTTGTTTTCTCCTCACTAGGGCTACGCTAGTGGCGAAGCACTCTTTACAGGCAACTAGTCGCTAAATTTCGCGAAGTTTTTCGCTTACGGAACACACTGCAGTTCGTTAGTGAAAACAAACGGCCGACATATTGACTAGCGTTTTATGTTACTTAGAACTACTTATTTTAAGTGACATAACTGAAAGCCAAGGTTAAGATACACCGTGGCAGCTCTCTTCCTTCTGGTTTGCTTTTCATCCTTGCACGTTTACCGGGATGCAATTAGAAGGGTTATGAGTCGCAATATTGGACTAGGACTAAGAAAAGTAATAAACAAATAAGCTTCTACTCCTTCTTCATGCCATTGAACAGCTTGTGAAACCTTCCAGTCTCCGCGCTGCAAAGGACTTCATGTTGTGAGTCAAGTGGTCGGACAGCAGACGTTATCACGCAGTACATTTTATCTATGTCAGCTGCGAAAAGCAATACCAACAAACACCTTTTTATGAGGAAAAAAAGGAACGGGCAAAAAGAAAAAAAAATCTTGTTCCCTAGACCGGTCCTAAGCCATGGCTGCAGCTAAAAACGACTCACGTTTTACGTTTCAACCAATCTAAGGTAAAAAAAAAAAAGACCAACGAAACTGTTTAGAAACTGGTGGCGTAATTCGAGTGACGAAACTGAGAACTTCACATCTTAGCCCCATAAAATACTCGTTTTCAAAGTTTTTCTTATTCACATTGTGGCAGATAGGGATGACGACAACACCGGAGAAATGCGTAGGCGCTTGACTGTCCAAACGTGTGGGTAGTCTGCTGAAAGAGATAGGACGGTTAAGTCTTAGACTAGAAAAAAAAAAAAAAGGTAGAATGACGAGTCAGCCCTTTCCGCCGCTTCATACGACAATTGATAGGAAAGGACCGTCTACACTTTCGGGAATGGAAAGAAGAAAAAAAAGGATCTTCGGAGAAAGGGATCGGTGCAGGCGGCAGCCTCTGCGGGCGTGACGTCAGCAGCGCCGACTTAGTGCGTCATCGGCGTGCGTCGCCGCGGCGCTGGCCAATCGGGAGCCAGCTCCATTCATGGTTTCTTGCGCGACTCTCCCCGCTCTTTCGCCCGTTGTCCCTGAAAGCGAATACGAGCTCTTGCTTGCAAGGTCGTACGCCCACTGTCGTTCAATGGACGTCATTCTGACTCCCTTCACCACTCTCCCCAAGCCTGTCCATAATACCGGCATAAAAGGGAGGCCTCCATGATCACACAAGAAAGCTGGAAAGAAGTTTCAAGGCAGGAAGAAAAGTGGGAGCATTGTTTTAGGGAAGCGAAGTTTTCTAAAATAGGGATCCATCTGTAGTGTTCTTACGCGGTGCTTTGTTTTTCGAGTATAGCGCCGAGTTTAACAAGAGATCGTTTAGTTTCCTGTTGTTTCTTTCTATCGTAGGGGTTGTTGGAGCGATGTTGTCCCGGAGGTTAGGAAGCAGGCAAAAAAAAAAAAAAAACATGAAATGGTTCGTCTGGACAAGCTTCCGCTCTTTCCCTCCGGTTAAACCCTCGCCAGACCCTGATCCTTGCTCTCCGGGATATCGATGAGCTGATGCTATTTTGGGAACGCGCCGGCGTCGCGTATTTCTAGCCTCGTAGGAAGACCAGGCACCAGTGATGCGGCGAGTAAGTGTCGCTGTGATGTCTCGATCGGTAACTGCTTACATGGCCATCAAAACGCTTCCTTTCATTTTTGCGTAGGGTATACATTTTCTTTCTTTCTTTCTTTCTTTCTTTCTTTCTTTCTTTCTTTCTTTCTTTCTTTCTTTCTTTCTTTCTTTCTTTCTTTCTTTCTTTCTTTCTTTCTTTCTTTTTCTCTTTCTTTCTTTCTTTCTTTTGTTCTTTCTTTCTTTCTTTCTTTCTTTCTTCTTTCTTTCTTTCTTTCTTTCTGTCCTTCTTTTTTTCATTCGTAGGTACCGTTATCTAATACAATAGCAATTACACTTAACCAAAGTGCCGCAAATGTGACAACATATGAGATCATCATTACTACATTGCAGTCAAGTAGAACAAATTTTTTTCTTCCTTTCGTTAATCTTTTCACCTTCTTCTTTCTTACGTCAAGTAGAAATCCGAGCGCAAACTCGTTTACCTCCATGCATCTCTGTTGCCTTTCTCTCTCTTTCCTCTGTTTGTCAGATTCGTTTGGTTTTGTCTACCGACGGAACACCATTACCTGCCTTGTTCTTTCATCCAATAAGGGATAGTTATAACCTGACAAGGACTGAAAGCTTCTCGCTTTTGTTCTCGCCCTCACGACTCTCTACGCAACGTTGTTTTTTTTCCAGTATAGTATATTTTTTTCTTCCAGGATGCTTCGATTACTACCGAGACGAAGGCCCGCTGCTCGCGCATATGACGATGGCGACAAAAAGAGCTCACGCTTTCAGAACGCCGCCTCGCACTTTAAATAGCCTTTTATTGTTCGCTCACGCGTGCGCTGGAAATCTCTCTCACCTGACTCCCGGAGACGACAATTGGAAGTCCGAGGCAGGCAAAAAAATGAGTCGCTTGTTTTTTTAGTCGTAGCTGTGCTTGAATAGCTCCCCGTCTTCATCTTTTCTTTTTTTCTTTTATACGATCGCAGACAAGCAGATCTTTTTCGGCTATTATCTGGGAGCGAAGCTTGTATTCCACTGAAGAGAGGGTACAAGCGAGGAATGACGGCGTGTTCTAAAGACAGCCCAGAGCTTCGAGTAGAAGGGAGCTCACCATTGCGGAACTAAAGAAAAGGAAACCGTCCGTTCTTTCTGTCGAACGCAGATAGGCCTATTTCTCTTTGTCTGCTACGATTTTTGTGCATTCAAGGTGCCATACCGTCTGTCCGTGGCAGTGCTACAACTTACGTACAGGACATACAAAGAAGAAATAATACAGGGAATGGCAAACAGGAGGAGGGCTCTATTCTTTGTCTGCGCTGTACGCATGCTTAGAATGAAACATCAAACAGTCCGCACTCAGACCCTAGTACAGTTTGAGTGGGTTGGGAACGTGGGTGACTCAAGACAGCTACGCGGCTGCATCGCATGCTCGATACGACGAGAAGAAACATGTAAAAGTTTATTATTTATTCATTTTACTCATACTGTTGGCACATAAGCCAAGACAGGAGTTGGGGTTACATAACTCTCATGTACAAACGTATTACACGTTGAAGTGGCGTTAGAAAAACAGGCACATATGGTAGCGACGTTGCCTCCTCCTTAATGTGGATGTGTCTGCGTGCTGCCATGTGATCCGTCTTTGGAACACGACATATGTTTAAGAACCAAGAGCTGGCAAGAAAAAAAAAACTTCATATTTGCGTCGTTCGCTGCAAAAGTGATCGAAAGACGACAGTCTTCTGCTGGCCGTCTATTTCGTGCATAGCATGGCACTTTCAGTGCTGTGTAAGATACAGTGCGGCATTTGGAATCACGTAGTTGTGAATTTTCTAGTAAAAGAACTCACATAATACTTACGTATTACTGTGGCACCTCAGATACGGGTAATACTTGCTTTTTGATCGACACAGTTCACCATGAATGCAGCCAGCCACCAGTTGAGGATGGCTGAACGTTTCGGAAGTACTTAAACTTTCGCTGAATCGTGTGACAGACGGACGGACAGACAGGAAGGCAGACAGACCATTTTTTTTGTGGTGAAGTATCCCAAGAAAAGCTTGTTACGTAGCGCTAGTGGCGGCCAGCCGGCCAGAGAAAAAGATGACAAGCGCTGATGGCTCGTGGCTTGAGGCGCCTAGAACGTTCGTACGCTTCGGGCTGACTGGACGCCACGGCCGCTGCCCTACTTCGGTAGCTCGCTTCCTCCTTTACGTCTCGGCCTTTCATTAAAGCGGTGACGATGGCACGTCTACGTCGGACGCCGTCACGTCGCTACGAGCTATCGTCTTTCAAACCGCCAGCCATTCCTAATCTGTATGTATTAGGTTTCACTTCCCATGAATGCAGGATCGCCCGAAGATAGATGACGTGTACACTGAAAAGAGATCAACTGACTGATTGCAACATCTGTTGCCGTCTGTTGTGAAAACTATCGTCTTCATTGTCTGTTGCTGGCTGCGTACCATTTCATTAAGATAAATAATAATACTTCCGTAGCTACCACAAAAAGGTTCAAAGCTTTGGGTTGCCCGATTAGAAAACCAAAACGCGAAACGTAAGTCTTTGGCGGGTCTGTCTTTGTACACTGCGCTATTTGCATGTCAAAAGAAATTTCGGCAGCCTGGATGCATACATAAAAATTCGGCGTCTCTACTAGTTTATGCGCCGTAGGGGTCAACGTACGCGTTCAGTCATCGTTTTCTGCTCCATAAGATTGCAACCCAGATATATAATTGGGCTACTCACACGAAGCCACCATAAAAAAAAAATTGCCCAGACTTGTTTGCTTTGGAATGGCCACGCGTGTAGGCTTAGCGACAGCGGCAAGCCTAATGGTGGCACCATTTATACCTCGCGGTTGCAGAACTCGCAGTTCTTCTGTGTATACACGATTACATATCCTGTGCGAGGCATGTTTTACGACATCATCCCTTCTATTTATGGCAGAGGGAGTAAACAGTTTGTGGCAGCGACGGACATTTTGCAACGTGGGGTTGCGCCGTCATCGCTAAGCCTAACGTGCGGCAGCCATGTTGTATTTGGAGGTCATCAATATTGCACACGTCCGGGGGCTTAAAATAAAGCACTTCCCCCACCCATTTTGCCAAATGGGAACCTGTCGTGACCGAGCTATTTTGCGTGGTGCCGTGGCGTGCCGCACGCAACATGAGTCCTTGAGTTAGCGAAGGCCCGTCCATTCGTCCTGACCTGAATGCTCTGGTACTTGGGTCTGAGATCGGCCTCAAACGGCGCCGATATATAGGAAAAGCCGGGAGAGAGTGATGGGTTGGGCGTCACCGCTACACACGCGTTTATAATAAGGGCAATACGAGGGATTTGTTCCTCCTTGTTTGCTTCAGCACCGTATGCTTTTGTTGTTGAACGACACTCTGAATTGAGCCGCTGCTCTAAACACGAAGGCCCTCGCCGTGGATACAGGTTCAATAAGAAAAATGACCACGAGAGCAGTCTGACTAAAAAAGGCGAATTCAAATGCTTTGAGTGCCGCTGTAGCCGTCAAAGTGCCGCTTGATTGCGGTGGCATGCTTTCGGTGATGAGGACGTCGAGACACGTGCCAGTGTTACAGAGGCAAACAGAAACGCCCTGCCTTATTCGGAAAACTTAAGTTCTGAAAGCGCGTTGTTTATTATTGCGTGCAATGCCGGCCCTGTGTAGCTTAAACGATTGCGAATGAACGACTTCTAGCAAGAAGCAAGGCCTCAATAATGCAGTCTCAGTGTGATGGAATATGACGCACTTGAGTTTTCGCTTTTTTGTATTTTGTGTTATGTTAATGGTGATATGGTTCTAAGGGTTTTTTCTAAGGATTTTTGTCAAACACATGTATGCAATATATAACTCGCTTTGATGGCGATCTGCATTTACTTGTATGCACATGGGCCGGAGTTGGACATCTCTATTCTGGTATTTCACTCACTCACTCACTCACTGTGTGCCTCTGATGCTTTTGAGCAATGCGCACGCTGTCACTCATCGACACAATAAGGGCGTTCGCATATGTAGGCGGCCGTGAACAACACACTTCTCAAAAGTCGACAATGCGCGCACGAATTTACGTGAGTTGTGCATCAAGTGTGCCCGACAGTGCGCAAATTAGCATTCAGTTACGCGCACACAGCATATTGTGCACAATGTACCATTGAATCTGCGAGGTATTTTTTTTATTCGCTCGCACCCATATAAGACATTCATTCAGCAATTTTCTCGAGGTACGCAAAGGAAGTGAACAAGTAAAAAAATAATGTGTGCCTCTTTTTCGTTTTTCTTTTGCCGCAGCACGCCAAGGCGACAAGGTCGAGGTTCGGCCACTTTGCTGACGACACCCTGACCGAGGAACTAGACCAACTGAAGTCGCAGTAGTCGCAACGCGAGAAGCCACCATTCCCCGAGTACCCACGAGCGACGCGGTGCGGCCTTCGTGAAAACTACGGCCGGCCACTTGACGTCCTGTCATACCAGACAACAACCTTTCGCAAGAGACGACCAACAGCTACATTGATGTGGTCTGTTTCAACGCCAAGCCCCGTATGTTGTATCTAATATCGCGTGCCAAGTGAGATGCAGTTGGCGATGATGCCTCTTCCTCAAGGCGTATCGCTCAAAAGACCGTTCCATAAAGCAGCGAATCACTCCTGGTATGCCCTACATAGCGCGATCTTGCGTGTGAAATGAACTTTGTGTTCATTTAAACTGTTATAAAATGTTCAGTGCACCGGGTAATTATTTCAAAGCTGCTGACGGGACATTTGTACAGGTGTGAAGAAAACTTTGTCGAGTGCTCTATTGTAATCAGCGCTTTAAGCTAAGGCACTTGTATTTCGGCGCACTTTTTCAGTGATAATAACTGTATAGCGTAATCACACTAATAACACTCGAATGCACGTTGCAATGCTGCTTGATTGTGATACTGTTCGTAAAATATTTGTTATTTTGAAAGGACTGTTTTATTGCGGCTTTTAGAGACACATTCTGTTGGTAAGTTATGCATCCTGGTACGAACTTTCTTTCACAGGCGATAATGTGCGAAATTTTGCAACTTTCAAAAAGGATTGTCAAGTTCCTCACAGTGCATGAGCAGAACACTCCATCTATGTGACAATAGATCTTTTTATAGGCCCTGATTGCTCTTCAAGAAGGTTGTAATGGGGCTGCATTTATTGAAAACCTTGCGTCCGAGTGTGCAGTCATCAGATATTTAAATAAGCTAAATATCTGGCTTCAGGGGCGCATACTTGAACATTAGTGAACCCGACATCTGGACAGAGTGGGCCTTCCGTTGGGTGTCTCCTTTTTTTAAATTTCTCGTTCAAAAGTGTCTATAGCAAATTAGTAATATAAACTGTAAACGTGGGTGGAGGTCTGGTTATTCATGTATGCCAAAGAAACAGGTCTAATTTGAAAAAACGTAATGGATATGCGCGTTTTCCAGCGTAATATTACAGCGGTGTGATGTGTGCTCAATCTTTCGTACTCTTCTAGGCACACCACATTCTAAAACGTCCTTTCGGGAGTCGAAGTCACTGTCTCTGGCAAGTGCAAACCAATAACGAAACAACCTTGTTGAGTTATTCTTGGGACGCTGAACTCTGAATTCATGTTTATAACCCATCGTGTGTTACTCCTGCTAATGCTACTACAGTGGATGTCGAATGCTAGACGTCTTTTTCTAGAGACTTCTGATTGAGTCGCGACTTACTGTCCTGAATTACCTCAGGGTGCTACGTACAGATCAAATGCGTTTCGAGTAAGTTTCAAAACAAAATTGTCACTTCTGAATCGCATTGTCCCCCACTTGAAGTTCCTTTATTGTTTTAACTGAAGTCCTACCTATTTGCACACGGGTATCACTGAAACTTTGTTTGCAGGGCTCAAATAATTTTCTATGAAATTCTTTCGTGCCAAACCTCTTATGAAGACAAATGATTTGTGTGGTTGTATTGAAGAGTCTTGCGTTAACTTTTGCGCCGTGTTCGTCTCGAAAGGACAATGAACTCGAGATTTTAAGACGGTAGTTTGCGAATGGATTTCGATGAAGGTGCTAGAACAGAATTTAACGCTGCGCCAGTGTTTTACAGGTGCCCTACGTCGAAACAACCTTAGCGTATGCGCAAGTAGCATTTACACAATTCCCGTGTGAATGTACAGTGGCCAGCAATGCGGAGGCCATCTCTCGCTTTCCGCACTGCGCATGCCGTGCTCTTCTTCCTGGAGCCATCAAAGTTTCATGGTATCAATATTTAGTATACATATATGTTGAGCATAATTCTCTCGTAGAAGTTCCTTGTAGTGTTTCACGGAATGGAAGCATTGACGGAGAAAAACCGCCATAGTACTTATTTTTCTAAATCAGAAAGAATTGAAAAGAACAACTAACAAGAAAGTGCTCACGAACGTTAGAGCAGGCGACCAAGTGTAGGCTCCTTCAAAACATAAATGTGTATACAAAGTTAGGCTTTCGCCTCCTCGTATATTTTCTTTAGCGGTTTGTCTCCACTGATGCTTGTAGAGAAGATATCTGTATTTCCCCCGTTACGAAATGGTGCTGCGTGCACTCCGAAGATACGATATCTATAAGATAGATCAACTCAGGTGTGACATTGTCGCATCATCACAGGTGCTCCCCCTGTCGGCTTGATCACGCTTCTAGCTTCTTTTTTAGGAACATAAATTAAACTTTGGACGCCATCCTTTACTGACTCCCATTGTAAAATCAAGTAATGTAAAAAAAAAAAAACTTTATGCTAGATAAAGGTTGTGCCATTGCATTTCGTGGAAAGCTTAACTGTTATATGTGTGTTGTCTAGTTACCGATAAAGATCTCGTAAATGTAGAGTGGTTATTTAAATCAGTCTTTATATTATTCGGATGTACGTAGCATGATGGTGCGGTGTGATTGCGACGCATTCATTGAAGTATAGTTAACGTCTTCCCAAAAGCGATTGTTGTATAGCTTGCCATAAATATTCAAGAATATTGGTGCCTAATTAAGACAAAATTAATGCCAAACATTCTTCTTAGAGCTCCTTGGAGTAGGTCTAATAAGTCGGTGTTCCGTATTTTTCAAATTTTTATGGACTATCTAATCCAACCCTAGACATTTCCGAATGAGTGTACCAGGCTAGAGTTGCCATCTAGAAATTTAGGGTCATTGTAAAACCATGACATCCTGTACGCAGATATATCGCTACATAGGCTGCAGGCTAATACCAGAACTGGTGATAACTACGATAGCTAAAAAAGACCATTGTCCACTTATGTTGTCGGTTTGTGTTTGTCCCAGCTTGGTAATTAGGCATGTTGAAAAGAAGCTGCAGTGATAAATGACGACAGTGTTTCGAAAAAAAAAAACCTCGTTGCACCGTGAATGTTTTCTCACACGTTGCCCTCCCACACCCTTCCCCTTAGAGACGAAAGTGAGACGATGTGGCAGCCTCATCAAGGACAGTACCCAGGCGTAATCTGTAGGCCGAGTCTGTCACCCCCAGGTGATATTGTAAATAGGCATGTACATTGTCTGTGTAGCTAGCATTTATCCGAAAACGTGGACGCTAATCTAACTGACATAGTGCTTGTACATTTCGAAAGTTACAAGAGATCTGCAGTCTCGCTCGGCGTGGCTTACGGTTCAAGATGGCGTTTAACAAGCATGACTGCTCTTCTGAACACGTAAACTGAAAGTTTGCGGAAAAGTTCGTAGTGTGCTGTAATGTTCGTCAGCAAACGCCGAGCTCACTGTTCTTATTACGGAAACTGCTAGTTTACGTAGAAGCCTGTACTGTAGTGTGGCAGTTAGGGCTAGTTGGTATGATATGACGATAGTTAGAACGACGACAAAGAGACAAGAAGGACACGAAGGACATGAGCCCTTGCGCTAATGTTCGTCCGTAAACTCCGAGCATGTTCTTTTTGATACGGAAACTGGAAGCTTACGGTAAAGCCCGTAGTGTACTGTAATGATCGTCCGTAAACTACGAGCTCGGAGTTTACGGAAAAAATTGTAGTGTACGGTAGAAGCTAATGCAGTCAATTGTGGAAGTGGGCGTGGAGATCGTGTTGTCATCGTTTCTTTTGAGCACAGCCGAGTAGAGCAAGCAGCCTATCGTGTGTTTTATCCCAAGGCTGTCACGTCGACTAGAGACGCCTTCTTTTTTTTTTGTCTGCGTGTCTGTGCGCTGTCGATAGTGTTAACAGGCGCAAGGTTGTGTAGAACGTTGGTAGCACTCATGTTTCATTACTAGAGCATACTTTTCAGCACCGCATCCGAGTGTTGTATAGTTCAGTATATGTTTCAATAAGACATGTTGAAAAACAAAACACACGAGGGTCAATATACGCCCACGATTCTGTAAAAGAGTGTGTAGTACCACCGCTACGCTATCACTGCGCTATGGAGTGGGGTACCCCGCTTTTTTCATATCTTAAAGGCTCAAGACTTCTTTCTTTATTGGTGTGTACACGTGTGCGTATGAGTGTGTGTTCTCTTGTGCGTCGGAGCCTGCCCATCTTGAGCGACGTTACTGTAGATAACGAGGATAATTGTTGAACCTTGAAGCAATCAAAGATTGTTGCAAAAGGAGGCAATACAGCGTATTTCCTTAGCATAACAATCTGCCGTATTTGCTTAGAGTAACGATGCACACTCAAATACAGCTGGCTGCCATTCCATGATTGAAACTTTACTTGGTAGATAGAAAGAATACGAACATGAAGTGAATTACAATGCAGGTACATTGAACCTTTGAAGTATGAGTTAAGCAAAACTTCATCAGGATATTATCCTGAAACCGCAGTCACTGCTGTTCCTTTAGAATTTTAAAAGCACAACCACACATAAAAAAGTACTTGACTTCCGCTAGAACTAGGACATTTACAATTACGTAACTTGTAGGACATTTACAATGACGTAAAAACGGAAACATTTTTTTAAACCAATAACGAAGTACTTGAAATAGGCAACACTGGAAGGGAGGAAGAAAGGTTTGAAAGAAGCATTACGGATTATGCTTACAGAGGAATAATTATCAGCATAAAATAGACAGGCAGCCAACTTTTTTGGTCCTGATGCTTCAAGACTGGTGGAAAGTGCTCTGACATCCAAGGTAGCCACAGCCATATGACAATGAAGCGACCACCTGTTTTCTGAGGATTAGGTGACCAGTAATAGCATATCTCATTATCCGATAGCCCCTTAAATAATTAAATCAAGACGTATACCACAGAATATAAGCATTAGCAGTGTCTTTGCAACGCTGTATTGCCTCCTGAACCTGCAAGCGCTGCTTGTCGCAGAAGCCTCAAGTGTAAGACACCCGCTCTCCAAAAATAAAGAACCACTAATTCTAGATTTCCCAGCGTGAAACTGTCTTAACCCCACTTGGCTTCCGTCGGCTAGCGAGAAATTCAATTCTCTTCATTCTCGCCGACGACTCATCTGAGGACGGTGTGATATAGATGTGCTTATCTCTCTGTGTCTCTGCGTCTTTCTCTCTTTCTCGGGCAAGTTGTCTATTTCGACGTCTTTTCGCGTTCAGATTACAGGCGATTGTAAATTCCACCAAGGCGTGTTCACGGAACCACAATCTTTGCCTCTTCTCAACTCCCACGAGAAGATGTGTGAATACATGTTATCTCTCCCAGTCTTCTAGCTTTAGAGAGCGGATCGAGTTTGACATGTCTTGGATATGTTTGCCTGCTTCCGCGTGTCTGTCCCGGTGTATAGTGTAAACTGGGGCTTCGGAGTAAGCCAAGTTCTAAAGTGTTGAAGTAAAAACAAACTTTTTGGGTCAACTTTCAAGCTGCAGTATTTGTTTGCCAATCATTTCATGAAGTCTTTTGAAGGGTATAGTTGGCGTAATAGTGAACATATTTTGGAGCAGACATTCGTATGTATCGCTATGTTTAAAAACAGCTCTGGTGCAAAGCGAAGCCCGTCAATTGTTCCAACAATCACGCTGCATAGCACTTGCTAGTAAATGTTATCTAATCGGTTGTCTATCCTGCAGTGATTACACGCCGATAATTTCAGTTGAGACGCCTTAACTTGACGTAATGACATCACTTATTCATCACACTAACTTTCACTCCGAAGCCCTGGTGCCTGAGTGGTCGTTTCGCAATTTCGAACACTATCTTAGAATACAAATACGTGAAAAAACGTCAACCAAGATTTCCTTGAGATACCGTGCCTGCATGCATATACTGTCGCCACGTTGTACCGAACAAGCCCCTTTTGAATCTTTCTCTGTAAATTCTTTCGTTTTACATCAAGCCCTGTAGTAGAGTACACCCGGGGTGTGTTCCCGCTGGTGTGGTGTACCTACCGACCATTTGTACATAAATCGAGGAATTATTTTCAATAAAAAATGTCACACACATACATTGTCATGACTCTTCTCTTACTCGAACCAGTACCGCTATGCTCGTTTACAGGTACGCTGCGGTGGAGCAGTGCCTATAGGGTAATTGACCGTTGACCCGAAAGGTCGCCGGTGTGATCCCATCAGTGGCCGTTGCATGTCGATGAAGGTGAAAAGATAAAGGCCCGTGTACTTTTGTCAGCGCAGATGGTAGCGCAGATGGTAGTGCAGATGTCAGCGCAGATGGTACAAATTTCCGGAGCCCGCAACTATACAGTGCGCTATCATAGAAATATTGTCAGGTGGTCCCGACGTTGACGAAGGCAGCAGCCGGCGTGTTCAAGGCGAAATTTTTCGTTTTGATGAACCTGTGCCCAAGAAAAAAAACTACAACTACAGGAACGCGCGCTGTTCACTGATGGTGGTCAGCAGAACGTCGGCGATCTGACAAGCGCTACAGCTCGCCGGCTTTGATACATTAGCTAGCAACTATTCCAGCGTTATCGCTGGTTTCCGTGAAAACTGAAAACCGGTGATCCACAAGCTTTTGAGTGGTTGGGGGGGCGGGGACAAGTTCACATGAAGCTGACACTGCAGGTGCCGGATGGCAAATCAAGGGGTTAGGGAATGGAGGGTGTAGATAGCTTTGAAAGCATAGAAAGAAAAATTTACAAAAATTGCCAATAACGTACACAACTGGATTAAAAATCACGTTCTTTTTCTCAGCGTGCACTGCCGTCAAACATGCGCAACAATCAAAAACACCATTTCAGCCCTAAGCTGATATGTCGGTTATTAGGTATGAATTAATGAAGGAATGAGGAAAAGGTAGGACGTCGTGCCGCGGGTCACATATGGTCACCCTACGGGCCACATGTTGCTGACCCCTAGCTCCAAATTATTCGCGTCTGGCGCACAATCATAATGGGATGATGTTAAACGATCGCGAAGCTTCTGCTCTTTGCGGCTGCAATCCGAATGAATGAAACTAACTAGAGTGGTAATATACTATGGTTTCGAAACATAAAACCGCAAATATTATTAATACTATATTTGTTTAAAACCAAAGAAAAAAAAATGTCAGCTGCACCAACAGTCATTGCTCACATGCATAAATGGTTTAGAAAAATTTAGTCACAGACAGTGGACATCAATTTATTTTGCATAGTACATAAATGTGTGTAGAACAGGTTGTTAACAATTCAGAGTACTTAGTACTCTGCTATGGGAGAGTGGAAAGCCGTCCCACGAGCCGCACATTTCATGAGGCCGCGTCAATAGAGAATGTTAGTGTGTTCGAAAAAAAAGTTAACGGTTTAGAGTACTCGGTACTCTACTATGGGAGAGCTGAAACCCGTCCATGGGGCTTCACACAAACAGCTTCCAGATGAGAAAGGGAAGCTTTTGTACACATAGCTTGTATATACACCAACGAAACATCAAAAACAAGTGAAGACAGTGTATACATCTTACAGATGAGCACCAAAATCTATTTGATCACTGGGTATCTAAATGTTACAAGTCAAATAAAAATTGAAGTGAATCAAATTGATAACATTTGACAGAATACTACATATGCATGCGTGCTACAGTGGGCGCATGACTAGTATGGAACAACTGGAAAGTTCAGTTGTCCCTCCTTTACTCTGAAGAAACGTGTGTGCCCCATCGTCGGAAAAAAGCCTCTTCGCCGTGCGTTTCTAAGTGCTGATCGAGGTAATTCCATACAATGAGCCGTTTTTTGGTCGCTGTAGAGTGGTGGCTGTAAAGACCAGTCTTGCAAACAGCCCACGTTCTGTTCCCATGCGCGCCGTGCGAAAGCCAAAGAGGCGTTGTACCCCGTGTCAGACGCCTTTCGCCACCGAGCACTGAAACAGAGCATGTTGGGCCGTCTCTCTTTTGCCGCAGTTTGGACAGCGGTCATTTGGAACTGCTCCTCAATGTGCTAACCTGTCACACGTAGGCAATGCCCTCCATCTTCTCAACCAGTCAAACTCGCGCACCTGGTTAGGTACGCGATTGCAACGCCATCGTTTTCGTTTTTCCGGGCGGGATGCTTTTTCTTCCTTTGTGCTCAGTGTGCTACTTGTCACCATTTCACTTATTTCCTGTGAGGAAACATCTTCCCGAATGCATGAACCTATTGATTCCGCTGTTCGTTTTATGCCACTGGCAGCTCTGTAAAACTTAAACGGAATTTCTGTTCGTGGTCCAATGTATGGATTTGCTGTGAAAGTTCCTTTCAGTGTACTGCTCCAGTACATCAACAGCCTGTACTCGGGGTAGTTTTCGTCATCGAAGAGCTTCTGTGTTGTTTTTGCAGCCAGCGCTCTCGTGAATGTTGGCGTGTCTGGAAGACCTAGACCTCCACGGTTTGTGGGAAGCTGTAAAAATTTTCTTTGTACTTTTGCTGGTTTTCCTCCTCAGAGGATGGCTCCCGCAACGTAGGTGAGGCGTCCTGTTACACGGCG